TCCAATTTGACACCACTTTAATTGCCAGGGCTCAATGCTATGGAATTATGGGAATTGTAGTGTAGAGGAGCTCTACTGCCACAAGAAACTACAGTTCTCAGAATTCCACAGCATTAAGCCTTGACAGTTAAAGTGGTGTCAAACTGCATTATTTCCGCAGCGCAGATGCAGCCATAGTTAAAATAAATTGACATAATTATGCCATTTTATTTTATCGGGAGCCAGCATGGTGAAATGGTTTGAGTGTTGGACTATGACTCTGGAGACCAAGGTTCAATTCCCTGCTCGGACATGTAAGCATGTCACACTCTCTCGGCCTCAGGGGAAGGCAATGGCAAACCTCCTCTGAACACACCTTGCCAAGAAAACCCCAAGATGCTTTTGTCTTAGGGTTGCCATACGTCAGAAATGACTTGAAGGCACAGAACAAGAAGAAGAAGAAGATGCCTTGAGTCTTGGACTGGGGAAAAGATGGGAAGAAATGATGATGATGATGGTGATGATGATGATGATGATTGCAGCCAAAAGGGCAGCTCTGTGGCACCTTAAGGAAGAATGCTTTTATTAGGGCCCAAGTTTCAGTGGACTTTTCAGTGAATGCGATCTATCCTGTTTGGCGTCTCCGGATTCTCAGTGAGAGTTTGTGGGGCTTTTGGAGACAAAAGCAGATCCTTTGGAAATGGACATAATTTGGACTCCTCTTTGACGTCTTGCTCCCGAGCTGCCACACTTGTTTTCTCACTTAGGATCCTAGAGACGTAAGAGACTCCCAAAGGTCATCCAATCCAACCCCCTTCTGCCATGCAGGAACGCACAATCCAAGCATGCCCGGCATCTGTGATGGCCACCCAGCATCTGTTTAAAAACCTCCAAAGAAGGAGACTCCACCACCTCCAAGGCTGCATCTTTCACTGTCATAGAATCCTAGAGTTGGAAGAGACCCCAAAGGCCATCCAGTCCAACCCCCCTACTGCCATGCAGGAACTCACAATCCAAGCATGCCTGACAGATGGACACCCAACATTTGCTTAGGAACTTCCAAAAAAGGAGATTTCCACCACTCTCCGAGGCAGCAGCATCTTCCATCATCAAACAACTCTTTCTGTCAGGAAGTTCTTCCTAATGTTGAGATGGAATCACAACTTCAGCTCAGGCGGAAGAGCTCAAAGGAAACCCAACCTTTGTAGCCTTTGTGACACCTATGTCGAATTTAGGATTGTGGGTGTTGTAATACCCCAAAGTAATATTCCCCAGGCTCTAGAAACTAAACTATGTGACTTGGAAACTTGCAAATAGGGTCATAGGGCTGGTAAAAACCACAACAGCCTTGTTTGACTCAGTGTGAAGAGCAGCTTCCCAAAAGCAAGAAGGAAGCAGCACCCTGTTTCAACACAAATACGTATATAATCTTGGGAGGAGCTCAGACACACTGAAGGCAAAAAAGGCACTCGACACATAGCACTTTGTAAACAATATTGAGTTCTGTCCTGGGCCCAGTTTGCTATTCAGCATCTTTATCAATGACTTGGATGAAGTCTCTTCCATTTATTTTGGATGGCCATCTGTCGGGGATGCTTTGATTGGGAGTTCCTGCATGGCAGGGGGTTGGACTGGATGGCCCTTGGGGTCTCTTCCAACTCTATGATTCTATGAAGGAATAGAAGGCATGCTTCTCAGATTTGCAGATGACACCAAATTAGGAGGAATAGCTAATGCTCCAGAGGACAGGATCAAAATTCAAAATTACCTGAACAGATTAGGAAGCTGGGTCAAAGCTAACAAAAGGCCTTTGCAGACTGCCAGAAATAGTGCAAATTGAGTCCACTTTAACTATCCTGACTCAGTGCTAGGGAATCATGGGAACTGTAGTTTATTGTGGCACCAGAGCTCTCTGACAGAGAAGGCTCAATGTCTCAGAAAAAAATACATTTCCCATCATTCCCTAGCAGTGAGCCAGGGTAGTTAAAGTGGACTCAATTTGTACTATTTCTAGCAGTCTGCAAAGGCTCAAAATGAATTTCAACACAGAGAAATGTAAGGTACTGCACTTGGAGAGAAAAAATGAAATGGATAGGTGTCGGATGAGGGACACCTGGCTTAACAAGATGAGATGTGAAAGGGATCTAGGAGTCCAGGTAGACCACAAGTTGAACATGAGTCAACAGTGTGATGCTGCAGCTAAAAAAGCCAATGCAATTTTAGGCTGCATCAATAGAAGTATAGTGT